CTCAACCTTGTGAAAACGTTTAGGAACCATCCATGAAGCCATAGACTTGATTCGAATCGATGACCTTTCCTCCCAAAAAAAAAAAAAAAAAGGATGGCATTTCTAGCGGCTATTATAATTGAACGTTGGATATTTCATCATTTTCTTCCAAATATGGATTGGCTATTTCATTAGGGTTTTTCTTTACTTGGCGTAGTGCCAATTGGATACACGTTATTAAAGATAAAATCCATCACTAACGGTAAAAGATTTCATACGTTATCATTGAATTATTTGAAAGCGTAAATAGAAGTTCATCTAAATCTGACTCGTTTTTTATTTATGCTGACGTCGAGAAATATTTTCCTAAAATCCAAATGAATACATACTTAAAATGGTATGACTATTAATTTTATCGTTACATTTAATGGATGTCCATTGAGTTTTTGTTAAAAGGAATATCAAGTTCTATATTTCTTTATAAAAAAATGTAGTTAATTTAAAAAAGTGTCACAATTCATAGATGGTGTATCTATATGGTATGATATTTTAAGTGTAATTTAGATATCTTAACAATTATCTATTGCGCATCAACTAGAAAAATTCTAACTTCTATGGTGGTAAAAGGATATTTTCCCCCTTTATTCTCATGCTAGTAGTAGTACTGCGTACATCCCTCTAGCCTAAACCTCAAGTCACGCACCCCGTCACGTTAGAACTTAGAAGCAGGGGCACTACGACGTGTTGTTAGTCGTTCCAGTCTTCCAATGAACTTTACCACTGGGAAACGGACAAATTCATTAATGCATGCTGGTTTTCAACTTTTCTCTTTTCTATTTTTCTTTTTTATTTCCCTTTCACTGACACGCCAACAGAACTTATGACAAGGAAATCATCTGAGATTTGGCTGTTTCTGCCCAGTGAAAGATGGCATCCCCCGTAAAACCCACAAAACCAAAGGCTAATCGGGTCTTCCCAATTTTACAGGACGAGCCTTCCATTTCCCGATGCCCCCCAACTGCTGAATGCATGGCATTACCGAAATAAAATACAAACGCAATGGCAAACAGTCAACTTGTTCTCCAAGAATACTTTAGTTCCGATATTTACCTCCCCCAACCCGATAAAAATACTAAAGCACTACCGTTTCCGCTTCTGCGCTTCCTATAAATGACCCCACATCTGCAGACCCAACGTTCCTCCATTTATCCATTTTTTCAGTCGCTTTTCTCACTCCTTCTCTCCCTCCCTCTCTGTCTAAGTCTCACCTTCGCTCTCTGTTCCGCATTTTCTCTCACTTAGGGTTTTATAGTTTTCTGCTCTCTTTTCCTCTTCTTCATTTGCGATGGCGCAGGAGGCTCACAACGCAGGCGCTGCACCCAACGGAGCGGCTGTGAAGGAGGTGGTTTTCAAGGTGGCGAAGCCGTGGCTGTTCGTGGAGGCACCAAAGGCGAACGACGCCGTACAGTTTTACAAGGTGGCATTTGGAGCCGAAGAGGTTAACCGTACTGTGCATCCTAAGAGGAAGGCCGAGCAGGAGCTTCCTCTCCTTCTTTCTGCTGAACTCAAGCTTGGTTCCTTTTCCTTCCTCGTCTCTGACCTCATTGCTGATGACTCCCGTGCTCCGTACGTTTTCCGTCCTTTTTTAAATTTTTGCTAGCGCTGAAATGATCTCCGTACGATTTTTTGCTTGCTGTTTGGATGGATCTGTATTATCAAAACGATATTTATGAACGAGGCTTATTTTACGTTATTTTGTTGTTTGTTTAATTTATCTTGGTCTTTTGGTTCTTCTGTTGAGGTGGTTATTATTCTGTTGTTGGTTGTCTTGTATCAGGATATTCTAAAACGATAAAAAGTATGTATGATCATTTTTTAACAGCTAAAATTTCATTTATATGATTTTTTTCCTAGTTTTGGTAGTTTTATGATGTGTCTGTCCTTTGCTCATAATATTTCGGTGAACGTTAGTTGTCATTACCATTTTCCCCCTCTGAAATATAGTTGTATTATTTTTTTACTTATTTTTTGTATTAATTACGTGGGTAAATGGAGTCGACCGACATTTTTTGCGCTAATCTTTTAATTTTTGAGCTCAACTCTTTTACATCGCCTCTCCAATTTTTTTGTGGTTGGACGGTGTTTTCCCGTATGTTTTTTACTTTTTCGCTTTCCGTGCGATCTTTTCATTGCTTTAGGGTTCGTTTTTTTTTTTGCATTTTTTATTTCACTTCATTCACCATAACACTGTTTTTAATTCCGTCCAGAGTGAAAACAGTTGGAGGCGGAGTGGCTTTCTGCCTGGAGACTGAGGAGGTTGAAGCTGCGGTGGAGAAGGCTGTGGGTGCCGGAGCCATCTCGGAGGATGTGAGTGAGGCTGATTGTTGCGGTGGTGATGGGCGCGTGGTGAAGCTCAAGGATCCGTACGGAAATGTTTGGCTGGTTTGCTCGCCTGCGAGTGCCTCTGCTGACGTGGAGGCTTAAAAGGCGTTGGATCTAAACCATCATGTCTCTCATCTCTAACTTTTACTAGTACTCGATCCAGTCGTATTATCGTTTTGTCTCAAACAGTCAAGTCCGGTAGCATTGCAGATATTAAGCTAGTATTATTAAATACCAGAAACTGCAGTAGCTGGTTAGATGCTTAGAAACATCATTATGGTATTTTGGGTTCGAAACAATGTTGATGATCCATTGCAACTTTAATTCCCTCTCTCGGCTGAAACGGCTTAGTAGTTAAGGTCTTGCATTATGTGCTTTGTGATTTGCTTTTGTGGTTAGTTGCATGTTTCTAAAGCTACCTCAACTAATGGCTTGAATGAGGGTTTTATGGTGAAAGGATAAGGGGTAGTGCTGACTTTTCGACAACCCCATATCCGATGGTGAGGGACACGTCCTTGGACTTGGAGAGTGTAATGGGTTATGCGGGTTCTAGGTGGTGGTGGTTTATAGTTGTTACTTTGTAAGACTATAGTATCTTACTTTGATATGATTATTAAGGATTAGTATTATATTGTTTAAATTACTGGTTGGAGACTTCGACGAATGAAAAAGGCCTTGGGCGGCGTTGTTAAGGTTGGATGGGGTAAAAAGGGGGGCCCGAAGTGTGGAGAAGTGGGGTCTGGGGGTTTGAAAATTAGGGCACTAGTAGTTGTACGAACGGCAGGCATTGCCATGCATTAGAGCGTTGAAAACGCAAAACTATAATTACGTTCAGGCGAGCAGCTCTGCGTATTGGTATGAGCTTGGCCGTTAAATTAACAGAGAGATGTGGTCCCAGTAACCTTTCGTGGATTTCTCGTGAGTTAATGTTGGGAGGGTGGAACCGATTCTCTTTAGGCGGATTGGTTATATTAGATAAAGTGCAGGTTTGATCACAGATTAGAAATTAATCTCTACGCTTGCAATAAAATTTGAAAGGTGTGTAGTATTGTGTCTTTTGATTTGGGAGGTAGGAACTTTTCCTCCTAGTTTCCCTTGGTCTACTCAAGCCCTCATCTGACATAAGTTAAAGAGTGGGAGTTAAAATTGATGGCTGACAAAATATAAATGTTGGTGGTGCTAACAATTCCGGTTTCAGCTATAGCTTTGTTTATTTGGCTTGACGCACGAGCTTACCCCCTACTGGCTTGGCACGCGATTATGCTGTATTCCTATTGTTTCTCTTTTCTCGTCTTAGAAGAATACTTGGTTGATTCTGGCTAAAAGAGTATTAATTAGGTTCATTAAAAGTAAACTAATTGGTTAGTGTCAGGATTGGCCGATTAATCTTTAGGGAAGGGGCACAAAAATGCGGAATGCTGCAAAATGACCACTGTTGATGCAGGGATTGCCTGGGCAAAACCAACAGTCAAATTCAGGGACATTCATTCGATTGTCGGAACAATAAACGTATTAGATTAGTTTTATATTTTTAAGGTACAAGCTTCCAAGTAAATCTGAATATATCTTACGCAGCAAACCTTTCAGCGTTTTGCTTAGACACCCGAAAAAAAAAAAAGAAAAAAGAAAAAGCTTTTAGCCTTTCTGCTCTCTCCTATGACGACTCACCGATCCTATAGTACTCTAGTGTAATTTTGCTTTTAAAATGTTAATTCTAAGAAGAGTTATAGTTATTGATTTATTCACGTCATTTTTATTTTTGGGTATATTGATTGTTAAAGCTTTTAGCTTTTATTCATCAGCGTCCTTGATTACCCTTTTCCTGTACTGTATTTGTTATTTTGTGAACTATCCATCATACACCAACGGACAAGGAAATGAAGAGAACAAAAATTTTTTAATACATCAAAGTAGAAACCTACAATCCTGTTGGTGTTAACAAAGTTTACGTGACAATCTCATCGAACTAAAGTCGTTTTAGCTTCTCAGCTAGCAACGCTGGTTGGGTATTGAAATCGACATAAAACTTGGAAAAGAACATGTCAGCATTGATATTGGTAAAGTACCGGAAGCATAGAAAGTGAAATTCCACAGGCCCAATGTTCCTAACTTGCGCATAATGGCTAGATTTGTGCATGTAATCAGATTTCGTGAATTGAATAAAAACTGAACTTCCAAGTTTCCCGAATTATGCATCGGACTATGAATTTTTCCAATAGCCAATTGTATGTATTCTTTTCCCTTTTAATCAACATTTGACATTCATCTAATGCCGCCGTTATTAATTTCTACAGTATTTTTCTTTTGGGGGTCAGTCATCTTGGACCCTGTGGTTAGCTTTTTGGGCCTGTTGAAAAAGCATGGATTGTTGTGCATATGGCAGGGTCCTAGGATACTAATTCAGGGTTGTTGAACTTGGGCCACTCCTCGGTGAAAAATAATCGAATGTTGGACAGAACCGTAATTGATCCATTGTCATTTATCTCCCACCATCATGGACTCCCCCCAAATCTCAGGAGCCATAGAATCATATAGACCTGACTGCTTCATACATGCTACGGCCACGGTTACAAAGATTTGGCCAATAAAGAAAGAGAGTGTAGCAGTCTATAGAGAGTAGAAACAGCTTGGCACAGAAATGACAATACTTTAGCATCTCGTAATGTTAAGTCTCATTTATTCTACTCCGTAGACATAATAACTATTACGTAAACAGGTTTAACCGACTCTAATCTTGTATGTTTACCCTGTAAGCTTTACCCAAAGAGGCATTCATTTCATGCATTTGCCCTGCCGCAGATTTCATGTTTCAGAATAAGCGTGGTCAAAGACTTAAAAGAGAGGAATTAATTCTTACACCACACAACAAACACCACAATAGGGATCTTCAGACTTCCATGCTGATTCGGCTATAATTCAGGTTGCTATTACAAACCATATACGTACAACGACGATGCTAATTAAAACAGTACTACTCCATAAAACTGCAGTCCCAGCTCTCAACCAATTAACTATATGTGATCCATATAATGAAGGCCATTGCCAGCATGTATACTCCTCGTACGTACCTGGAAGAATGCAAAACAAAAGTTGATCAATAGTCTAAAAACTTATAATTCTTTTTATATACTACTCAGTAAATTTAAGTCATGCTCGATGAATGGAATATCTTAGAGATCCACGGCTTGTTAGTGGAGGAGGAATATTAATTGATGACCTTTTAACAATCTGGAGGAAGGGCGAGGTTGCATTTGGATGGGAGTGCCAAGGCAAGGTCAGGATCAATCCCAAGAGAGGGCAACGTGAAGGAGTTCTTATAAGAACACAAGCATTTCAAGTCCGCCCCTTTGAGGGCATCGCAACAATCGGAGGTGGGATCGACCGGGTCGGGCGGTGGTGGTGTCACTGATGGCTTGCATGCCATTAGTCCCTTCTCGTCCATGTTACACAAGCTCATAGCCCTTGACCATTCAGGGCATCCTAGTCCCACCAGCACCACCAGCATTACTGCTACTGCCACTGTTTTGCTTCCAATTCCACTTCCCATCTCCGCCATTATTTTAGTGTTGGTTGCTCAATTGCGATCTTGAGTGGCTTATGGCTAACTTACATGCATGTCTTGAAGATTTATATAGAGTGTTAGAGTCCTTCCGCGAAAATAATAATAATAAGTGTGAGCCCGTGACTTAGAATTTGGCACGAACGGCTTTAAAGTTGATACAATCATACGAGTCACGGGTGGTGAAATGCAGAGGGGTCATCTAATGTTTGTGGCTTTGGTAATTGGGTACGTTTCCTGAACCAATCTTCTTTATTGAATTTTTGTGGTCATAGAATGGTCTGGAATTTTACTAGATGTCGGGAATAGATTGGAAGGTATGATTTTGAGTTTGTCTTTTTTTGTGTGTTTGTTTCTTGTAGTCCGGATGTACTCTAATCCGGCTGTGGTTTGTTAGTTCTAAGTTTATTGGCCTAGTTTGTTGATACGTTGGCAATTAGGATGGTCAAATCATCGTTTTATGGAACAAAGCGAGGATTTAGTTGTCTTCTCCATATTCATTAGCAATTCCACTATGAACTCATGGCCTGGCATACATAATGCAATGAAATTATGTCATAGTTTAGGCTCCCATCGAGTTTCATATGTTAAATATTTTCGTTCAAATAGTTTGTTGAAGGTGTTGCAGTGTAGAGCAGATACTAGGGATGCAAAAGATTCGGGTCACTCGATTTCAACTCGCAAATAACTCAATCAATAGCTCAACTTTGGCCAAACTCGAGTCAAGTTTGAGTTTACAAGTTGAACTCGAACTCCGAATTCTAGTACTCAAAGGTTTAAAGGCTCAACGAGTCCATTCGAGTAATCACATTTTTTTTAATTAAATTATTAATATTACAAATTTACTATTTTGTGTACGTTTTGTGAAATTTACTCAAGGCTCTACAACTATTTTGAACTTTTTCAAGTCGAGACATGCATTTGAAATCACACAGACAGAGATTCTTACATATAACCCACAAACACAACTCTCACATTGCCGGCAGTGGGATTCGTACATACGATTGGAAGAGACTCGTTCTTATCAACTGAATCAATTTGTGTTACCAACTGAACCAATAAATTTTTGCCACCTAAGCCGAAAATTGGCATCTCTTTTGTTGTTCAGCAGCACAGAAAAAAAAAAAAGAAAGAAAGAAAAGGAAGAGTTAATCTCAACCACCCACCCATGAGCGAAAGAAAAACCTTTGCCGTTGCAAGCGTTAACGACCCAAATCCAGACAATTAGAATAATGGGACGGCTTTCAGGCTTCGGACGACGATGGGTATTGGGCCAATGGGCTTGTGTCCTAAAAATCCGACTAACCAGACCGATAGAATCTGTATACAGGACGACGTATCCAATTTGACTATACGTTATGTGCGGAGCACAATGAAAGAACCAAAGGGCAAACTCGGCTGGGACGCCCTCCATAATGGATGAAATTGAATGGTCGTTTTCCTTTGTCGAGAAGCCGATGTTGAGGTGGGCAGGCAACCCTGGCTATTAGTTGGTCTCCCCATTAGCTAAGCTTAGAATCAATAATGTAAAAGTCAAACCCGGTTCTCAATGCGACGCAGACGCTACAGTAGAATGAACTTCAGGTGCTGCAATGTCATCCCACAGGGGCAGGATCCGATCAACCAATCAATAATAATGCATTTCTTGTGGAGAATCACACGGAGTTATTTGTGCTTCTTATGGATAGGTTTATATAAAGATTCGTTGTCCAATGCATGGATTCTCCGGTGGAAGAGATTCAATAAATCGGCGAGGAGGAGTCAAAAATTAGACTGTAGCAACACGCCAATGTTCAATTATAGTAGGAAATATTAATTGTTATTAATTCTTGGGACGGAAGCGCAATGAAGCTGGACTTTACTAGTATCAATCTACCGCTCCATTTGGTTTTCAAATTCAGAACTTGCTAGTAGTAGCCTCGAGATAAGAGAGAATGAATCTCTTGCCAATTAAATGGGTGGTTAAGAAGATTATCTCCGAGTAGCTAGCTGCTATGCAAAGGTACGAAGTTATATATATATATATTTTTTTTTTGTCAACAACGATACATTTGTATAACCTACTCTATCCTAATCTAGAGAGAGGGGGAGCCTAAGAAGACTGTTGTAGGGGTTAGTGGATATACAGATCCAACTAGATCAAGGGAATGCTATGACACAACTCTTAGATTTTTTTCGCTGCAGGTAAAATTCGAATCCTCACCTATAATCCAAGGAAGGATTTAAGTCCCTCCTTGATGGCCACTGAGCCATTGCCCAGTGATTTCCGGAGTTATATATATACTAGTGGAGAATTGCATGTTTGTACCGGATACTCCACGGGCAACTCAAATTCTTCCACTTAAAAGAAAAGAGTTTTGAATGATCACGGGAATCGACGGTAACTAAATCACTATCGGATCATACCTACTTTACACCCACACCAATCTTAAGCAAGATTACATTAAGTGATAATTTTTTGATGAAAGATAAGAATTGAATTCTTGAACTCTTGATCTCTTGAACCTCCCACCCACACTAAAAATGATCGCGAACTCCGTTAAAGGGAGTTGGTTATCCCTGTATTCAAAGTTTAAAAACCTGCAGCTGCAGCTGATACCTCTATAGTGTTGTTGACCCATCAACACTGCAATGCAAAACTGCAAATACTCTGTCTATCTATCTATCTGGGACTACTACTACTACTAGTACTACTGTTCAGCTTTAGCATTAGACTATTGGGATAATTGCAGAAACCTTCCCTGAGGTTTCTGACATTTACACTGACCTCCCTTGTAGTTTAAAAAATTACACTGACCTCCCCTGAGATTACTAATTCTTTGCAAATTCAGTCCAAACGATTAAAATATTGTTTTAGGGAGTGAAATTAAAATTTTTTACCAAATTTGTCCTTTGTATTACATGTCCAATGAATGACAAAATACTACAAATTAATTAACAATTACTAAACTTTAAGGAGTATAGTTTATAGGCAAATATGCATTACCTATTTAAAGTACCGGCTCTTTATGGGTAATTTACTTTCAAACATTTAATTTAATACAAATATTTACACTCAAATACATATTTGTATTTACTTTTAAATATTTAATTTTTGTTAAATACAAAAACTACCAATCTCTCTTCCGTAAAAATATTAATATAACACTTTTTCAATTTTAGTTACAAACATTTTATGTATTTAACATAAATTAAATGATTCAGAATAAAATACCTATAAAGAGCCAATACTTTACTCATGTAATGGATGAAAGTTATAAAGAATTAATACTTTACGGGTCTTTTAAAAAAAATTAATTTATATTAAATAAATAACCTACTGATTTCCTTTTTGCAAGAATATTACTGTAATATTTTTTGAATTTTACTAACAAACATTGATATATTTATCATAAATTAAATGCTTGAAAGTAAAATATCCGTAAAAAACCGGTACTTTAAATGAGTAATGCGTGTTTGCTTATAAAGAGCCGGTAACTATTTAAAGTACCGGTTCTTTAAGGGTATTTTACTTTCAAACATTTAATTTAATACAAATATTTACGCTCAAATACAAATTTGTATTTACTTTCAAATATTTAATTTTTGTTAAATACAAAACCTACCAATCTCTCTTCCGTAAAAATATTAATATAACACTTTTTCAATTTTAGTTACAAACATTTATGTATTTAACATAAATTAAATGATTCAGAATAAAATGCACACATAAAGAGCGAATACTTTACTCGTGTAATGGATGAAAGCCATAAAAAATTAATACTTTATGGGCCGTTTATTTTTTTTTAAAAAATATTTAATTTATATTAAATAAATAACCTATCGATTTCTTTTTTGCAAGAATATTACTATAACAATTTTTGAATTTTTCTTACAAATATTAATATATTTATCATAAATTAAATATTTGAAAGTAAAATACTCGTAAAGAGTTGGTACTTTAAATGAGTAATGCGTGTTTGCCCATAAATTATACTCCTTAAAATTTATTAATTGTTAATTGATTTATAGTACTTTGTCATTCATTGGATATGTAGCACAAAGGGCAAATATTGTACAAAATTCTAATTTCACTCCCTAAAATAATATTTTAATCGTTTGGATTGAATTTGCAAAGGATTAGTAACCTCAGGGGAGGTCAGTGTATTTTTTCAAACCACAAGGGAGGTCAGTGCAAATGTCAGAAACCTCAGGGGAGGTCAGTGTATTTTTTCAAACCACAAGGGAGGTCAGTGCAAATGTCAGAAACCTCAGGGGAGGTTTATGCAATTATCCCTAGACTATTTGTGCCTCTCTCTCTCTCTCTGGAGCTTTGCAGGGGCACAGAGCACCATGCAATTTTAGCATGACGCATGTGGGGCTAAAAAGCCATTTTTCACTTTCAATCTTCTCTCTCTCTGGTTGCTTTGAGATGGGAGAATCATCGGAGAGAGAGAGAGAGAGGGAAGAAAACTACTAGTACTACTTTTTATCTGCATACATTGGAATATACACTTAGCCAGCGACAAACAAGCCAAAGTATTAGAGCGACCCCTCGTCACAAAAAAGTTGATAAAGAGTTGAGAGTAGTAATAGAAAGAGATGGAATTCAAACCCTGCCTGCTGCCTGCATACCGCACAGCCTTCCCCGGCCCCCCATACAGAGCAAAAAGTAAACCTAATCAATTCAATCCCCTTCTCTTCTCTCTTCCTCTTCTTTCAGTTCATCTTCTTCCTGTGCTCCTTACCTGTCTGAGGAGTACCTACTACTCGTACTCCTGCAATAGCAAATTTGCAATGCCTCCTTTAACCAACAATAATGATAAATAATACTCCAGTACTAATCAATAATAATATCTGCCCGGGGCCTTTCTTTTCTCTCTCTTTCCAGCTTTTTCCTGTAGATTGCAACAGAAGTTACACCGCTTTGGATCCCCATCTCCCCCTTACGCTCTCTCATTTCTTCTCTCTCTCTTCCTCTTATACATTTTATTATTACCTTTTTGTTTTTTCAACTCTTTTGTTAGGTCACAAGCAAGAAACCAGTCATTTACTCC